CACCGCACGGTGCACCCAGACCCGGCATCATCCCAATATCCCCAGACCCGGCAAGCAGCTTCCCCCCAGCCCGGCGTCACCGGTGCGTTGCGCAGCTACGTCTTGGCACGCCGCGTGCCAAGGGTTTCTGCCAGCCAGCCCCTGCGGTCCTCGCCCCCGGCCACCACTCCGGTGCCCTCGGCGCAGGGAACGAGCCCAGCAGCTCTGCCCAGACCGACAGGCAGGAGCTGTCTGGCAGCGCCGGGCACAGCCGAGCTGGCAGAGCCAGGCCAGTGCCATGGAGGCTTTGGTGAGGCCGGACAACAGGGCACACGAGTGGGAACATGCAGGGGACTCTGGGCATTAAGGGGACGGTGGATGCCACCCATCCTCGCTCATCCTGAGGTCTCTCCCGACCCAAAACGGTGCCACTGGCCAAAAGGCAGGTAGTCTCGGGGCAAGCGGCCAGGGAACGCTGGTGGCACTGGCTCACTGCAATGGGGGCTCCAAGCCCAGGGACCCCCAGCTGCCCCAGGGGATCCCGCAGGCGGTGGCAGCCCCTCAATGCCGGGCTCTCTGCAGCCAGATCCACCCAGCCTGGCTGGGGACAACCCATGGGTGCCCCCACTAACCAGTAGCACCAGTCAGGCCAGCTCCGGCTGCTGCCTCGCCCGGCCCCAGCTTCCCCAGCACCATGAACCTCCAGAAGCATCTTCTCGGTGGCAGCTGGAGCGGGGCCGGGTGGGCACGGGCTGCAGTGCCACGGGCAGGATCGTGCCACCCCACTGCCAGCCCCGAGCTGGGTACCACCCCAAAAACATGCCCGCAGAGGATGCACAGGGCACCGCAGCCCCCCGAAATGGCAGCTCCGTGGCCCTCGGAGGGGGTTTAACCCGGGGGTGGCTGGAGCCAGCACCCCACGGCGAGGCGGCCAAGCGGAGCGACCGGCGACATCGCGGCCGGGCTGGCACCCGGGCGGCCTTGGCAGAAGAAAAAAAACAAAAAAAAAAAAAAACAAAAAAAAAACAGAAAACCCACAAAAAAAAACGCCATCTTTGTGTTCGGGAGGCAGCGAGCCACCGTCCTGGGGGAGGGGGAGCGTGGAACACCCCCCCCCACCCACCCCCTTCCTTTACCCCGACCCCGATCCGGACGCAGCCGCCCCCGCGTCCCCCCCGCATTCCTGCGGCGCGGGGGCCCCCCGAACGCGGGCCGCATCCAGCCCTGGCCGCCCGCCAGCAGCCCTCTGAAGTCTCCCTGCACGCCGCCGGCAACAAAGCCTGGCCGGGCCCTGCGTCGTCGT